TATATGTATATTATATATATATATATATATATACACACAAATACATACAGACATATATACAGATGTATATACACACACAGATGAATATTGACGTATATATGCTTACACGGGGAACAAAGTGCTAGTAACCCCTTCTCCTGTATACATTACTAAAGGCAAAAAGAGAAACTTTTGTTTTTCTTTTTTGGGCCACCCTGCTTCGGTGGGATACGGCCATTTTTGTTGAAAGAAGATGCAAACACAGACTTACATACATACATATATATCCACATTATTTTAAATTAAGGTTTCCCTAGCAGTCAATGCAGCTACGAGAACATGTTCCTGCAAATATGTGCAAGTGCTCATACAGGTTATACTCGGTCAAGAATTTTCGTCCACAATTTTCACATTTAAAAGGGTTATAGTTTGCTGTATTAGGTATTTCTGACACAAGATTTTCTCTTTTCTTTTTCTGCAAATATATATATGGAAGAGTTCTAGCACATGATCCATTGTGACCTAATTTTTCTATGGTTTGGTGTGTTTGGCATTTGCTTTTCAATGGAACATGATAGTTATGATGATTCTTTATTGCTTGTCTCTTACATTTATGCTCATTACTGCAACAGAAGTTTTCTTCCTTCTTATGGCAGTCATCATACTGATGCAAGGAATACTCGCCATGTTTAGATGTAGTGGAGTGACTGGTATCTACACAGGTCTCCATACCAACACAAGACTTTTCTGCTGAATCACGGCAATAGTCATTGTAAGATATATTAGAGTGCTGGTAATGAATTTTACTTCTACCAATTATGCTAGAATTTGGAATACTAACATCTTTCCATCCATTTAACTTTTGTTGATAACTAATATGCAAGTTACTGTTTGAACTTTTCAATATCTGCCTTGTTTTACAATGCTTGATTGTTACCTCATCATGGACATAGCTAGCTGCTTTTCTTTTAAGCCCATTTCCCCTTACACAAAAATTACAATGTTGCTTATTTATACATAGAGCACTGTCTTGTTGATGATCTTGATTACTGTTATTGCCGTACTCTTGAGCTGAATCAAGACAACCATTACTGATTTTTAGTATTTTTTTCTTATTTCTGTTTCTTGTAACATGCTCTACCTTTCCACTGAATTGCTTCTTATTTTTATTTTTCACATTATTGTTGTGTACAGCATGAGTGAGCTCATTCTGGAAAGAGTGTTTATTTTCTCTCTGGATAAATTGCCAAGAAAACCTTACATCACAACCATCAATAATTCTGTTATGATTATCACACTTAGAGTCATATAAGTAGGTATTGCAGCCGCAAACAATGGCACCGTCACTATGGTTGCAACACTGAATATCTCTGACATAATCATGAGAATTGTTATGAGCACTACTGGTATAATTTACAGGTCTGCCAAAAGACGATCTTTTAGGTTGGCATTTCTTAAAAGTTTTATGGTACAAGAACCTACTAGAACCTAAACCTTGGCCAAAGTCAGCACCAGAACTTGTACCAAGATAATGGCATCTATTTGGATAAATACTTTGAGAGAAAGAACTGCTACTAACACTAGGATATAAAGAACTACAAGAGTTTGACTTATGAAAAGATGAACATTTGAGATTAAACCAGTTACCCACAAACCCGGCAGGTCTGACAATGCTATCCAAGGACTTGCTGGTACAGATACTGAGTTCGGAAAACATACTTGAAAGATCAGCAATGGAAGGCATGTTTAAGGCAGTGGCACTGCTGGAGGACTCACGACTGACAGCATGATGGGAGGAACTATTATGACTGACAAGATGATGGGAGGAATTATTATGATTAACAGCATGATGGGAGGAACTGTTATGACTGACAGCATGATGTGAAGAACTGTTATGACTGACAGCATAATGTGAAGAACTGTTATGACTGGCAGCATGATGTGAAGAACTGTTATGACTGACAGCATGATGTGAAGAACTGTTATGATTGGCAGCATGATGTGAAGAACTGTTATGATTGGCAGCATGATGTGAAGAACTGTTATGACTAGACAGCATGATGTGAAGAACTTATGATTGGCAGAATGATGTGAAAACGTTATGACTGACAGCATGATGTGAAGAACTGATATGACTGACAGCATGATGTGAAGAACTGTTATGATTGGCAGCATGATATGAAGAACTGTTATGATTGGCAGCATGATATGAAGAACTGTTACAACTGACAGCATGATGTGAAGAACTGTTATGACTGACAGCATGATGTGAAGAACTGTTATGACTGACAGCATGATGTGAAGAACTGTTATGATTGGCAGCATGATGTGAAGAACTGTTATGATTGGCAGCATGATGTGAAGAACTGTTATGATTGGCAGCATGATGGGAAGAACTGTTATGACTGACAGCATAATGTGAAGAACTGTTATGACTGACAGCATGATGGGAAGAACTGTTACAACTGACAGCATGATGTGAAGAACTGTTATGATTGGCAGCATGATGTGAAGAACTGTTATGACTGACAGCATGATGTGAAGAACTGTTATGATTGGCAGCATGATGTGAAGAACTGTTATGATTGGCAGCATGATGTGAAGAACTGTTATGATTGGCAGCATGATGTGAAGAACTGTTATGACTGGCAGCATGATGTGAAGAACTGTTATGACTGGCAGCATGATGTGAAGAATTGTTATAGCTGACAGCAGGATGGGAGGAATTATGATTGACAGCATTCCATGAAGAACTATTGTGACTGACAGCATGATCTGAGAGCCTATTGGAGTTAGGAATAGGAAGTGAAAACTTGTTGGGACTGAGTGTACAGAATGAAGACACACTGCAATTAGGACCCTGAACTGAGGGAACTGTGATATTACCTGTTAGGTTGACACACTCTGGGAGCCTCCTGGTATTACTGCTGATACTGAAACTCTGGGACTCCCACAGTGGTTGAGAGGAATGCTGAGCCTATTACACTGATCAGGGGAAATATTGAGCCTATTACACTGATCAGGAAGAATGCTGAACCTATCAGGAGTCATGTTAGTATTGTTACAGTGATCAGGAGTCATGCTGGGATTGTTACAGTGATCAGGAGTCATGCTGGGATTGCTACAGTGATCAGGAGTCATTCTGGGATTGTTACAGTGATCAGGAGTCATGCTAGTATTGTTACAGTAATCAGGAGCCATGCTGGGGTTGTTACAGTGATCAGGAGCCATGCTGGGATTGTTACAGTGATCAGGAGTCATACTGGGATTGTTACAGTGATCAGGAGGCCTACTAGGATTGTTACAGTGATCAGGAGTCATACTGGGATTGTTACAGTAATCAGGAGGCCTACTAGGATTGTTACAGTGATCAGGAGCCATGCTGGGATTGTTACAGTGATCAGGAGTCATGCTGGGATTGTTAAAGTGATCAGGAGTCATGCTGGGATTGTTACAGTGATCAGGAGTCATGCTAGGATTGTTACAGTGATCAGGAGGCATGCTGGGATTGTTACAGTGATCAGGAGTCATGCTGGGACTGTTACAGTGATCAGGAGTCATGCTGGGATTGTTACAGTGATCAGGAGTTATCCTGGGGTTGTTACAGTGATCAGGAGTCATGCTAGGATTGTTACAGTGACCAGGAGTCATGCTGGGATTGTTACAGTGATCAGGAGTCATGCTGGGATTGTTACAGTGATCAGGAGGCATGCTGGGATTGTTACAGTGATCAGGGTCATGCTGGGATTGTTACAGTGATCAGGGGTCATGCTGGAAACGTTACAGTGATCAGGAGTCATGCTGGGATTGTTACAGTGATCAAGAGGCATGCTGGGATTGTTACAGTGATCAGGAGTCATGCTGGGATTGTTACAGTGATCAGGAGGCATGCTGGGATTGTTACAGTGATCATGTGGCATGCTGGGATTGTTACAGTGATCAGGAGTCATGCTTGGATTGTTACAGTTATCAGGAGTCATGCTGGGAATGTTACAGTGATCAGGAGGCATGCTGGGATTGTTACAGTGATCAGGAGGCCTACTAGGATTGTTACAGTGATCAGGAGTCATGCTGGGATTGTTACAGTGATCAGGAGGCCTACTAGGATTGTTACAGTGATCAGGAGGCCTACTAGGATTGTTACAGTAATCAGGAGGCATGCTGGGATTGTTACAGTGATCAGGGGTCATGCTGGGATTGTTACAGTGATCAGGAGGCATGCTGGGATTGTTACAGTGTCATGTAGCATGCTGGTTGTACAGTGATCAGGAGTCATGCTGGATTGTTACAGTGATCAGATCCATGCTGGATTGTACAGTGATCAGGGGGCTGCTGGATTGTACAGTGATCAGGAGGCCTTACTAGGATGTTACAGTGAATCAGGAGTCCATACTGGATTGTACAGTGATCAGATGGGCCTACTAGGATTTGTTACAGTGATCAGGAGGCTACTAGTATTGTTACAGTGATCATGTGGCCATGCTGGGATTGTTAGAGTAATCAAACCTGCTGGGACATATCAATGTAATCGGAGCTGATCGAATCTGGTAAGTGATTAGACATGCTGGTACTGGTACAGTGATCAGGACCTCCTAGAATTGGTACAGTAATCAGGACTGCTGGATGATACAGTGATCAGACCTCTGGATGGTACAGTGATAGGACTTGGCTGGACTGGTACAGTGATCAGATCCTGCTGGACTGGTACAGTGATTAGACATGCTGGACTGGTTAAGTGATAAGACTGCCTAGATTGGTACAGTGATCAGGACCTGCTGGACTGTACAGTGATCAGACCTCCTGGATGGTTACAGTGATCAGAGCCTGCTGGACTGTTACAGTGATCAGACTGCTGTATTGGGTACAGTATCAGACTGCTGGGATTGTCACACTGCTCAGACTGCCTGGATTTTAGAGTGATCAGGAAGCACATGGCATTCTCAAGTGATAGACAGCTGTCTTAAGTGATCGGAGTCAACTGAATGTACGTGATCAGGAGTCATGCTGGAATGTTACGATGATCAGGAGTCATGTGGATTGTTACAGTGATCAGGAGCATCTGGATTGATTACAATGATAATGAGCATGCTGGGATTGTTACAGTGATCAGGAGTCATGCTGGGATTGTTACAGTGATCAGGAGGCATGCTGGGATTGTTACAGTGATCATGTGGCATGCTGGGATTGTTACAGTGATCAGGAGTCATGCTGGGATTGTTACAGTGATCAGGAGTCATGCTGGGATTGTTACAGTGAACAGGAGGCATGCTGGGATTGTTACAGTGATCAGGAGGCCTACTAGGATTGTTACAGTGATCAGGAGTCATGCTGGGATTGTTACAGTGATCAGGAGGCCTACTAGGATTGTTACAGTGATTAGGAGGCCTACTAGGATTGTTACAGTGATCATGTGGCATGCTGGGATTGTTAGAGTAATCAAACCTACTGGGACTATCAATGTAATCAGGCCTGTTCGAACTGGTACAGTGATTAGACCTGCCTGGTCTGGTACAGTGATCAGACCTGCCTGAATTGGTACAGTAATCAGACTTGCCTGGACTGGTACAGTAATCAGACCTGCCTGGACTGATACGGTGATCAGACCTGCCTGGACTGGTACAGTGATTGGACTTGGCTGGACTGGTACAGTGATCAGACCTGCCTGGACTGGTACAGTGATCAGACTTGCCTGGACTGGTATAGTGATCAGACCTGCCTGGATTGGTACAGTGATCAGACCTGCCTGGACTGGTACAGTGATCAGACCTGCCTGGACTGGTACAGTGATCAGACCTGCCTGTATTGGTACAGTTATCACACCTGCTGGTATTGTCACACTGCTCAGACCTGCCTGGACACTTAGAGTGATCAGGAAGCACGATGGCACTCTCATAGTGATTAGAAACAGTCTCGTCTTCAAAGGATCTGTGAGAACTAATACTGTGCTCAGTGATCTTGTCATCATGAGTACCAGAGTCATGGGACCTAGTAACACTGTTACCCTCTTCAAGTGATTTGAGAGAACTGATATGATCATAACAATACTTTTTATGACAGACATTAGAGATATGCTCAGAGATATTCCTAAGACAGGCTGATCCAGGCACACTAAGACTGAATTTGACATTGCAGTGCTCTGCAAAATCATCATTTTGAACAAACGTCTTGGATTTCATAAAATGATTCTTACTGCCGTTCACTTCATCCTTTCGTAATGTTCTGCTGAGTCCAGTATCATGTTTTCTTTTCAAGTTACTTTGTTTGCTAGACATTTCTTTAGTGGATTTTTTGTCATGCTTCTCAGCATTTTGTTTGGTGATCTGCTGGCATCTGTGTTCGTGTTGAAGGAAATACTTCCGAGTGCTGAATAATATCTTGCATTCACTGCACCATCGCTGAAGGTCCCGTTCTATGCAAATGAAAAAAGTTATAAAGTACATTATAGTATATTCATTCATGAACTAACTAAAAGTTATATCCTGAAATTTTACTGTATTATTACCTTGAAGGACATATCGATTAAGGCATCAGTTCAAAAGAGTTATCATTATTTAAAGAGATCTTCCCCATACAGAATTAACCTTCAAATCTTCAAATGGGCACTCAAAACAATATGAAGTTCAATGAGGAGAAATTTCAATTACTCAGATATGGTAGGTAAGACACACAGGCAACAGCTAGGCAACTTTATTCCGAAATGTTTCGCCTACACAGTAGGCTTCTTCAGTCGAATACAGAAAGTAGGCAGGAACAGTAGAGATGTTTACCTGGAGTTTACCTGGAGAGAGTTCCGGGGGTCAACGCCCCCGCGGCCCGGTCTGTGACCAGGCCTCCTGGTGGATCAGAGCCTGATCAACCAGGCTGTTGCTGCTGGCTGCACGCAAACCAACGTACGAGCCACAGCCCGGCTGATCAGGAACTGACTTTAGGTGCTTGTCCAGTGAAGACGATGTAATCAGTCCGTCACCATTGAAGTCATAGAATTTGAGGTTGTCAGTCCCTCAGCCTGGGGAAGTTCAGTTCCATAGTCAGGAACTATCTGAAGATCAAGCGAGAGTGCGGAGACTTAAATACTGTCGGAAGGAGAGGTGCAGAGTAGTAGTAATAGCGAGAATGTAGCCACTGAGAGGTTATGTCCCTCTCAGATCCAACAATTCTCACTTGAAAAGGTTGTCCAAGGTGTTTTCTGTACCAAGATGCCATGTGTTGCAGTGTCTGACAAGATGAACATCAAAATGGTATACAATACCGACAGGTTGATAGGTAAGACGCATAGGCAACAGTTAGGCAACTCTATTCCGAAACGTTTTGCCTACACAGTAGGCTTCTTCAGTCGAATACAGAAAGTAGGCAGGAACAGTAGAGATGTGAAGACGATGTAATCAGTCCATCACCCTTGAAGTCATAGAATTTGAGGTTGTCAGTCCCTCAGCCTGGAGAAGTTCAGTTCCATAGTCAGGAACTATCTGAAGATCAAGCGAGAGTGCGGAGACTTAAATACTGTCGGAAGGAGAGGTGCAGAGTAGTAGTAATAGGGAGAATGTAGCCACTGAGAGGTCGTGTCCCTCTGAGATCCAACAATTCTCACTTGAAAAGGTTGTCCAAGGTGTTTTCTGTACCAAGATACTAACTGTTGCCTATGTGTCTTAACTACCAACCTGTCGGTATTGTATACCATTTTGATGTTCATCTTGTCAGACACTGCAACACAAGGCATCTTGGTACAGAAAACACCTTGGACAACCTTTTCAAGTGAGAACTGTTGGATCTGAGAGGGACATGACCTCTCAGTGGCTACATTCTCACTACTACTACTACTCTGCACCTCTACTTCTGACAGTATTTAAGTCTCCGCACTCTCGCTTGATCTTCAGATAGTTCCTGACTATGGAACTGAGCTTCTCCAGGCTGAGGGACTGACAACCTCAAATTCTACGACTTCAAGGGTGATGGACTGATTACATTGTCTTCACATCTCTACTGTTCCTGCCTACTTTCTGTATTCGACTGAAGAAGCCTACAGTGTAGGCGAAACGTTTCGGAATAAAGTTGCCTAACTGTTGCCTATGTGTCTTACCTACCAACCTGTCAGTATTGTATACCATTTTGATACTCAGATATGGAAAACTTGAGGAAATTAAAACAGTATCAGGGGTATACAGCAAATTCTAGCCATACAATGGAGGAAAAAAGTAATGTGAAGGACCCGGGAGTCATAATGTCAGAGGATCTCACCTTCAAAGACCACAACAATGTATCCACTGCATCCACTAGAAAAATGATAGGATGGATAATGAGAACCTTGTTCTCTCTAGGCTGAAATACTGCTGTACACTAACTGCTCCCTTTAAGGTAGGCAAAACTGCTGACCTGGAGAGTGAACAGAGAACTTTCACGGCACACATAAGTACAGTCAAGCACATAAGTTACTGGGAACGGTATTCCCTGAACCACAGGCGAGAAAGATATGTGATAATATATACGTACTTGGAAAATCCAAGAAGGATTAATACCAAACTTGCACATGAAAATCACTCCCTATGAAAGCAAAAGACTCAGCAGGAGATGCCCCTTCGGGAGATGCAGGGGCACCATTTGCTGGAGGGTTCCGTGGAGATGATGGTTGGAGATAAACACACTTGCTGGGTTGTATTTACTTATATTAGCAAAGTTGTCAGTGGAAGGCCCAGCCTAGCCTGTTGCCTGTAGATCTATCCATGAACTGAGAAAGGGACAGGGTGACTCCCGCCCACAAGCAGCACTGTGTGACGTCCCATGTTAGCCGCTAAGTCTAGCAAGGGGTCGTCTATATAATACATATGGATGGTACTATGATACTCAGGTATGCTACACAACATATACAGGGGATCAGCAACTATGCTGACAACTCCCACACACCAGCCAGGGTACTTCCCCACACACCACCCAGGGTACTTTCTCACACACCAGCCAGGGTACTTCCCCACTATACCAGCCAGGGTACTTCCCCACACACCAGCCAGGGTACTTCCCCACATACCAGCCAGGGTACTTCCCCACACACCAGCCAGGGTACTTCCCCACATACCAGCCAGGGTACTTCCCCACACACATGATTTGATTTGAGTGGAACTTGTATATTAGTGAATAGAATTAACAAAGCTTATTGCTTGGGAAGCACTGAAAATTGGGATGGGTAAATACAAATGTTTGTGGGATGGTTTGTGAAGGACCTGCCTAGTATGGGCCAACAGGCCTGCTGCAGTGTTCCTGCTTTCTTATGTGCAAACATTTATGGATGAACATCACCCTGACACAGCTGTTGCAGGCCATGCTGGCAACATCTATAATGACAATGTTGTGTCCCATTTTAGGGAAATGTTAAAGAGATGCCAGAAACAGAGCTCTCTGAACAGATATTTAGTGCCACAGGTGTGCAGTGACTCTCAAGCTGGTCCTAGTAGCATTAACAAGCAAAGAAGGGAAGTGACCCAGGAAAAGGGCTTGGTACATGAAGTCTTTATGGAAGGGGACTCCCCTTCCAAACAATAGTACACCCCCATCCTCTCCCCTCCTTCCATCTCATCACTCATCAATAAGTCTTCAAGAAAGGTAAGTGTCATTTTAGTAATGTTTTACTCTGCATGTCTCACTGTTTTCTGTGTAGAGAAATGTATATTTCATGTAAAAAATTATTTTGTATAATACTTTTGGGTGTCTGGAATGGATTAATTGGATTTCCATTATTTCTTTTGGGGAAAATTAATCAGGATTAAGTCAAATTCAGTATAAGACACTCTCTCTGGAATGGATTAATTACATTATCTGGGGTCCACTGTGCAGGTTTTCATTTATACATCACTTGGCAGGGTGGTAGTACCTCCCTGGGCAGCAGATGTCTACCAATCTACTACCTAGGATAGGATTTTCTATTACATTTATATAATTTTAGTGATGACAGTTTTTTGTCAATGATGATGTCAAGGTTCCTTTCTTTTCTGGTACCTTAGTGCCTTTTCTGGTTCCTGTAGTGTATATTATTCAGCAATATCAGGTGCTAATCAAGGTGCTTAATCAAGTTCTAAAGTGTTATCTATTTAAGTTTAGTTTACTATACCTGGAGAGGGTTTTAGAAGTCAACGTCCCCATGGCCCAGTCTGTGACCAGGCCTCATGGTGGATCAGGGCCTGATCAACCAGGCTGTTACTGTTGGCTGCATGCAACTCGACGTACGAACCACAGCCTGGCTGGTCAGGTACTAACTTTAGGTGCCTGCCCAGCACCTTCTTGAAGACAGCCAGGGGTCTATTGGTAATCCCCCATGAGTATGCTGGGAGGCAGTTGAACAGTTTTGGGCCCATAACACTTACTGTGTTGTCTCTTATCGTGCTAGTGGCACCCCCGCTTTTCATTGGGGGGATGTTGCATCGTCTGCCAAGTTTTTTTGCTTTCAAAGGGAGTGATTTTTGTGTGCAAGTTTGGAACTAATCTCTTTAAGATTTTCCAAGTGTATATAATTATGTATCTCTCCCGCCTGCATTCTAGGGAATACAGGTTGAGGAACTTCAAGCGCTCCCAGTAATTGAGGTATTTTATCACAGTAATGTGTGCTGTGAAGGTTCTCTGTACATTTTCTAGGTCAGCAATTTTACCTGCCTTGAAAGGTGCTGTTAGTGTGCAGCAATATTCCAGCTAAGATAGAACAAGCGACCTGAAGTGTGTCATCATGGCCTTAGCATTCCTAGTTTTGAAGGATCTCATTATCCATCCTGTCATTTTTCTAGCAGAAGTGACTAATACAATGTTGTGGTCTTTGAAAATGAGATACTCTGACATTATCACTCCCAGGTCTTTTTTTTTTTATTATTATCACACTGGCCAATTCCCACCAAGGCAGGGTGGCCCGAAAAAGAAAAACTTTCACCATCATTCACTCCATCACTGTCTTGCCAGAAGGGTGCTTTACACTACAGTTTTTAAACTGCAACATTAACACCCCTCCTTCAGAGTGCAGGCCTCAAGTCCGGCCTGCCGGTTTCCCTGAACCCCTTCATAAATGTTACTTTGCTCACACTCCAACAGCACGTCAAGTATTAAAAACCATTTGTCTCCATTCACTCCTATCAAACACGCTCACGCATGCCTGCTGGAAGTCCGAGCCCCTCGCACACAAAACCTCCTTTACCCCCTCCCTCCAACCTTTCCTAGGCTGAACCCTACCCCGCCTTCCTTCCACTACAGACTGATACACTCTTGAAGTCATTCTGTTTCGCTCCATTCTCTCTACATGTCCAAACCACCTCAACAACCCTTCCTCAGCCCTCTGGACAACAGTTTTGGTAATCTCGCACCTCCTCCTAACTTCCAAACTACGAATTCTCTGCATTATATTCACACCACACATTGCCCTCAGACATGACATCTCCACTG